CAGGCTTGGAGGACCTGCCCTGTGTTGATTGGTCAACTGGTTGTTATGGCCCACAGGTCCTCCTAGGACGGTTGCTATTCTCTTGCACATCACTGTTGTGCACTTGCATAATGCACACCCAGAGCCGTAAAGCATAGCTGCGCTAGCTAACTTCTGATTGGTTCCTTACCAGGAGGTGGGCATCTGAGTTCATACTGACCAAGGCCAAGCTCAGGCAAGCACATGTTAGCCTGTCATGGCTGCCAAAACATGGTTGATCTCTTCAATCTCAATTTATTATTGTAACTCGAGCAGTGCCTTATGAAGACCTTTAAGTAAAACCGCCTTTTTTTTTTTTAATAATTAGCCTTTATTTTATGTGCATTGGGGTGAAGGTATCAGATCCCCTGGAGCTACACTTACAGACAGTTGTGAGCTGCCATGTGGGTGCTGTGAATTGAACTCGGGTCCTCTGGAAGAACATTCAGTGCTCTTGACCACTGATCCATCTCTCCAGCCCTTGTTTTTTGTTGTTGGTTTGGTTTGGTTTGGTTTTGGGGTTTTTTTGAGACAGAGTTTCAATATGTAGCTTTGGCTGTTCTGTAACTTGCTCTGTAGACCAAGCTGGCCTCTAACTAGATCACTTGTCTCTTCCTCCCAAGTGCTGGGATTGAAGGAGTGAACCACCATCACCTTGCTTTAAAACTACTCTCCAAGCTTTGGGAAGTATGGTCTAGAAAGCATGGCCTTCAAGTGAACAAGTTTCTATACTGAATGAGATGGGTGCAGTAAAACAAAACAAACAAAAGTAAAGTAGTGCTCCATGGGTGGAAAAGGAAAAGTTTATTTCAAACTGCCAAGGCTGTGTCCCAGGAAAGCAAGTTGAAGGGACAGGGGAAAGATTTCCAGGGTTAAATGGGAACTGGAGAAAGGGGGGGCTTGTAAGCAGGAATGCAGGGAGCCTAGAGGCTGGCCTTGACCTTGACAAGTTAATAGGTACCTCAGTGATACATTAATGAAGCCACAATTTCCTCTTTGTAGAGATAAGGAGAATAACTCCCTTTTAGCAAGTTCCTGAGGAAGTGGAGGCTTTTGTCTGATTTGCCAGGCCTTGGGGAAAGGACTTTCTTGAGGACCAGACATATATTTTGTGTTCTTAGGAACATTGTTTAATCTGAGCCTCAGCTTGCTCTTTTGAAGAAAGCATTGGTATTAGCAGTCTTAAAGAGTTGTTATCAACAAGCCAAAACTCCAGCCTCTTCTCAAGAGCCAGGGTGTTTACTCTTTCTAAAAAGTTTTCTTCTAATTTAAGAGAGGTCACTTTGAATACAGATGAGATGATTGTTTAGTCCACAACTGTTGTGTAACTTGTCTGAAGTTGTTGAGACAGTCCATCAGCAAGGGGCTGCTGATGGGAGACAAAAGCCTACAAGGCCTTTTTTTTAAGCTGCCAGGGTTTTGTCTCAAATCAGGAGGGTAAGGAAGGAGCCACCTTGGAAATTCTCAATCTATCTGTCTCCAAGAGAATCTGTCGAACTCCAAGTCTCTCACTGGTACTCTCAGGATTGTATCACTGAGCAACTACAAATGTTCTAACCATTTGTCTGTCAATGTTTACTGCTTAACAGAAGTATAATTTTTATATATAATGTCGATGTCCAATTTATTGTATAAGGTCTGAGCCCTTACCAGGTTTTGACCTGGGAGGAATGACAAATTCAGCGAGTTGGTTTTGGGTATATAAATTTTACTTCACACTTATGTCAAAGCAACACACAAGCATAAGCAAACAATTCTAAGAACCACAGACAATAGGCTCACAGCAGGGGTGTACCTCTCCTGCAGCAGCCCACAGGTTCAGGCTGGGACTTCTGTTCCTCTGGATTTAACCTGTCGAGTCTCCTGAGGGCCCTGTGTCATGGAATCGGGTTCAGAACAGGCTGCACTCAGCTTGATGGACTGGTTGTTTCAGGTTAGTGGAGGAGAGCTCCAGGACATAGAGTCCTGGTACACTCTAAAGTTCGTAGTCTGAGCTGGTCCTTAAATAGTTTGCTAAATTTTGCTAATCACACTTTGCCACACTCCACACATTCTCATTCTTATCTACAATGGCTGCATAGTGGGCCTATGCTCCTTATCTTTTTAATCTTTCTTCAGCCAGGGCTTTGCCTGCCAGGTTGTAACCTTTGTCTTAATCTCCCTCCAGCCAGGCCTTTTGCCTGCCTGGTTACAAGGCTCCTTACAGGATCCAAAGTTTTTGCTTTGAGTTATGAATATGGATGGATGGATGGATGGATGGATGGATGGATGGATGGATGGATGGATGGATGGATAGATAGATAGATAGATAGATAGATAGATAGATAGATAGGTAGATGCTAAATTTAAATTATTGTTATCAATGTCAAAAGTTCTCTTCACACCTATCCTCTTTGGGAACTAACATATTCCATGTTTCTCCCATCAAAACAAACAACAACAAACCAAAAAAAAATATATATATATAATTTTTAAGTACCAACTTACTCTTCTAAGCCTAACCTTGTTGGATTTCTTAAAAGAATAATTGAGGGACCAAAGGTCAAAGAGATGCTTCAGTGGGTTAACCACTTGTCATGCAAGCATGAGGAATTGAGTTTGGATCCTTATCTCATGTGAAGTGGCCCTATAATCCTAATGCTCCTGAGAGAGAGGGGGGGGGAGAGAGAGAGAGAGAGAGAGAGAGAGAGAGAGAGAGAGAGAGAGAGAGGAGAGAGAGAGAGGAGACAGATAGGACAATTTTCAGAAGCTTGTGGACCAGCTACCCTAATGTACATAGTGCCAAATAGCAAGAAACTCATCTCAAAAAAGGTGGAATTCAGGAGACAGATGCCTGAATCTGTCTCCTACTCTGGAACATGCCTGCTGGAGCACACATACACATGCACCAAAAACCATGACCATCAACATAAACAAAAACAAAGTTATTACAAACCATTACCTTTTCTTTTAAACCCATTGTAATGCTTTACACCCCACCTCTAATTCCTCAGTGGTTCTTATTTATACCTTTCCTTAAAGAGGGCATATTGACTTCAGACTGATATAGAAAAATTAACAAAAGTCTAATAACTTAAACTCCAAAAGCCCAAATAGAAAAAGAAAAACTCTTAAGCCTCTATGATTTCCCATAAAGGCAGCCTGACAGATAAGGTACAAAGGCCTGGGAACAGATAATACACCACAGCTGTGTCAACATTTCTGTATCCTGAAGATCAGATAGCTGTCAATTTGCAGTTGTAAAAGTCCCTGGCCCAGGAGATAATTAACAAACTTCTTTCCTCTACAGGTTCCTGCTTATTTGCATCCTGCCTAAACATATAGCTATTGCTTCATCCTCTGGAACCATAAAAGCTTTGTAATCTCAAATAATCCAGTCTTTTGAACCTTCCCTTTAAAAACTCCCTTCAGCCAAAAAAGCAGCATTCTGCTTATTCCAAAATGGGCAGTATTCAAGGTGCAGCTTGTAATAAAAAGAAACCTTTGTTTTTACATTTGGTGTGTCGATTCCTCAGTGGTGGATTTTTGGGGTTCTGCGATCTGGGCATAACAAGATGATTCCTGCCACAGCTATCTGTAATCTGAATATCTACAGTTCTGTGAAAGTCCCAAGCAAGAAGCTCCAGCTAAGCTCACAGTACCCTGAGAGGACTAAATTGTCCTAATCCACCAGGAGTCAGGGAATTTTATAAAGCAAGAGAGAGAGGTAGTAGGGAATCATTTTCTCTATTTTTCTTATTTCTCTAGTTCTCAATCTTCCCGTGTTATTGGTTAAACTTAATTTGGTGTTTCCTTAATTTTTGTGTTAGGAGCTGAGTTGGTTATTTGGGAAGTTAATGATTATCTGGCCTCCCACTGTTTTGTATTCTTTACCATGTATTTAGAACACCTTTTGACAATGTTACTGCTATTAATATGCTGTTTTTCTTTCTGCTTTCAGCTAGCCCACCTGGGACCAATGTTTTCTTTCTAATGGCCATTGTGTTCATTAGACACCACGTTCAGAGACACCACAACCATAGCAACTCTTAAAGGAAAACATTTAATTGGGGCTGGCTTCGTCCATCATGGCAGGAAACATGGCAATGCACAGGCAGTCATGGTGCTGGGAAAGGAGCCAGGAAGTCTACATCCAAATGGCTAGGTAGCAGGATGAGAGAGTGACACAGGGCCCGGCTTGAGCATTTGAAACCACAAATCCCACCCCCAGTGACACACTTCTCCAACAAATCCATGCTATCCCCCAGAAGGCCACACTTTCTAATAGTGCTATGCCCTAAGGGCCATTTTCAATCAAACCACCACATTCATAAGTCAGTTAATACCACCAAACTCTGTTGACTTCTTTTCTTAAGTCAGTTCTCTTGTGAAGGTCAGGGTTAGGGTTAGAGTTAAAAAATATGAAGTTGGTATGCCGGCATCAACATTTTAATCCTGATTTGCCACAAAATATTATGCATAGATGAACAGATGTATACAGTGTATGTGAAAAGAACTACTACTTCAGGAATAATACTTGTTTCATAACAATAAAATGTAGTAAAGGCCTAAAGAAGATAGGTATTCATACAACCTCTATGGTCAATCTTATAACCATAGATATCAGGCCTCAATTATATATTTCTCAATTCAAATAAAACTCCCAAAAGAAATTATTATATAGCATATAAACAAATGTTTAAAGTAAGGTTACTCTCATTATTGCTGCTGTTGAATATTGTTATTTCACACCATGAGTACATTTTAAAAAATTCATTTTATTTGTTATTGGTTGTGTGTGACAAGTATGTGAATGTCAGAAGATGCCTTTAAGGAGTCAGGTGTCTTCTTCCACCTTTATATGGGATCTGTGAATCAAATTTAGGTTACCAGGCTTTCAAGACAAGAGCTTTTACCTGATAAGCTATCTTGCCAGGCTGAAGAGGGCAAATTAAGTCTGAAAATTTCATTAGCTTCCTACAATAATTTTTTTTTAATTCCAGTTCTAAGAACAGGTGGAATTGGCTATGGATAATTCATATGATTTCAATGAACAAGGTTCATGGAATGGAATCTCATCTGGGAAGAAAAAGAATTTCCTTACATCAGAAGATCATGGACAGAAAATTTTAAGTGTACTACAGAGTTTTAGAGAACAGAATGTTTTTTATGATTTCAAAATAATCATGAAAGAAGAAATAATTCCATGTCATCGTTGTGTGTTGGCGGCATGCAGTGACTTTTTCAGGTATTCCACCCCATCTGTGCTTTAGACTTTATTATAGAAATTACATTGTATTTTGTAACTATACTCACTACCCCCTAAACATGCTGTAGTAATTTTTAATTCTTAATAAAAAGACTTAATTATAGCTAGTTTACTAATAGCATTTGAATAGGGAATCTTAAGCTACAGCTGTAAAAATAAGAGTCTTCCCCGGAAACCATTCCCAAAGTTCTTTTTTGTTTTGGTTTGGTTTTTTGGTTTGTTTTTCCCAAAGTTCTTTTAACATTAATTCCTTGAACTATTCTGGGTGAGGGTGGAGTTCATAGAAGCTGAGTGTAAAGAAAATGACCAAGAAGAAAATAATTTAGTTGTGTTCACATCATATTCCTGGGAAGAAACTCCAACCCAGAGGACTTAAAATTTCTCTGGAAGGATGAAATCTCCCATGTGGTGGATCATACCTATAATTTCAACATCCAGGAGCCTGAGGAAGGAGGATTGCCTTGATGATATTGGGGTTTTGATACACAAGGTAAAGGTCTAATATATTTTCATAGTACTGTGGCAATTGTCTCCTGACAGCAGAGAGACAGTTATCTTTTGATGACACCCTGCAGTCAGCCCTCCTAATTATACTGCAATGAACTCAAATCCCTACTTCAGTACTCTGCATTATGTCCAATTTTGGAATAAAACTTAAGTAGGGTTTTAATCTCTTAGTAAGTTTGCTAAACATGGTATAAGATTTAATATATGAAGCAAAATGGAAATCATACTGCATTTTCATTTTTTTTTTTAAATTGCGGGCTAAACCCAAGGCCTTGTGCTATTCTGTTTCTAATCATTAATTCAAAACCCGCCTCTTTATAAATATGTAATTCACCAGGCTATGGTAGTCCACGACTTTAATTCCATCACCTGGGAGCCAGAGGCAGGTTGATCTCTGTAAGTTAGAAGCCAGTCTGGTCTACAAAGCAAGTTCCAGGACAGCCAGGTCTGTTACACAGAGAAGCCCTGTCTCAAAATGATGATGATGATGATGATGATATTGATGATAATAATAATAATAACTATTATTATTATTATTCAAGACCTGCTGTACTGCCATTAACATATAATTCAAGACTTGCTGCTGCCATTATTGTAAATTATATAAGCTACACTTTATTTTGCAAGCAGTTCTTGCCATCTGCTACTGACTGAATGCCTGCCTTTGTGTGGTTTGGTTTTGAATTTGAAGCTCAGTATTGCACAATGTCCTTGGCCAGGGAGACTCCAGGAGGCTTGAATTAGCTGTTTGCTTCCTTAACTATAACTTTCCTTCTCTGCTTTTTGTTTCTTTATATACCCTTAGTCATTCTTTGAACTCCTTTGGGGCCCCAGTGTTAGACTCTGCTACTCCCAAGCCACCTTTGTCTTCCCTCTTCCTTTTGAACACGGCTTTCGTTCCAGTAACTTTTTTGCATCTCTTGTCCTTATAAATGTGGCCTTTTGTTTACAGACATCTGTCAAGTTAATGGTTAAATACTTAATTTTTTTAGTATATATGCCCTAATCTAAATCCCAGGTCAACAGCTTACTAGTCATGTGATCTTAGGTAAATCACTACCTTATCCAGACCTAGGTCTACTCACTATTAACAAAGAAACTAGAAAAATAAAAATAGGAACTAATATGTAAGGTCTGGAGTTTATAAATAAAATAATGTATAGTTAATATATTGTGTGTTACATTCAGTTAATGTTAATAAAGTTCTTGTTTTGTAATGTTGAAAACACACAGAAAGATCCTATTCTGAACATATAGTTAGTTTCACTGCAGCTTTTTCAAGCTAATATGACAAGAAGTTCATGTAAACATTTGCAAGCATCTGCTTTTATCATACTTACTTTTAATTTAGTATTTTAGTAGGTTGGTTGACAGTTTTTTACATCTGCATAATGAATTCTGGTTACTGTATACCCCCTCCTTATCTGTTTCTACCCATATCAATGTCCCTGCCTCCCCCACCTGTCCATTCTCAGTGCTGACTTTTTTGACCTATTTAGTTTAACAAGGACTGTTTTGAGTGACTGCTAGATTGGGCATTTCAATGCTTTAACACATAATATTTCTTTTCCTTTTTTTAATTTGAATTAGAAACAATCTTATTTTATATATCAATCCCAGATCCCTCTCTCTCCCATGCCCTACCATGACCCCCATCCTATCCCTCTTCTGTTCCATAGAAAGGGTGGGGCTTTCTATGAGGGATCGTCAAAGTCTGACACATCATTTGGGGCAGGGCCCTCCCCCATGTGTCTAGGCTGAGAGAGTATCCCTCTTTGGGGAATGGGCTCCCAATGTTCATTTGTACACTAGGTATAAATGCTGTACCATTACCAGCAGCCACAAAAACTCCCCCAGGCCTACTAAATAACACCCACATGCAGTGGGGCCTGGTTCCATCTTATACTGGTTTTGATTCCATTGGTCTACCTGTCTATTTTTGTGCCATTAGTAAGCTCTTTTCAAGACTATAGCTGTATAATAGATCTTGAAGTCAGGGATGGTGATGTCTCACAAGTTCCTTTATTGTACAGGGTTGTTTGGGCTATCCTGGGTCTTTTGTTTTTCAATTAAAGTGAATATTGTTGTTTCAAGGTTGTGAAGAATTGTACCAGTATTTTGATGGGGATTGCATTGAATCTGTAGATTGCTTTAGGCAAGATTGCCATGTTTACTATGTTGATCCTACCTATCCAAGAGCATGGGAAATCTTTCCTTTTTCTGGTATCCTTTTTAATTTCCATCTTTAAAGACTCAAAGTTCTTGTTATACAGGTCTTTCACTTGTTTGGTTAGTGCTACCCTAAGATATTTTATGTTGTTTGTGGCTATTGTAAAGGGTGATGTTTCTCTGATTACTTTCTCAGCCCATTATATCGTCTGTATATAGTAGGGCTACTGATTTTTTTAGAGTTAATCTTGTATCCTGCCACTTTGCTGTAGGTTTTCCCTGGTAGAGGTTTTTGGCTCACTTATGTAAACTATCATGTCATCTGCAAATAGTGAAAGTTTGACTTCTTCCTTTCCAATGTGTATCCCTTTGATCTCCTTTTGTTGTCTTAATGCTCTAGCTAGAACTTCAAGTACGATATGGAGAGAGTAGACAGCCTTGTCTTGTTCCTGATTTTAAGGAATCACATTGAGTTTCTCTCCATTTAGTTTGATGTTGGCTGTTGGTTTGCTGTATATTGCTTTTATTATGTTCAGGTATGTTCTTGTTATCCCTGATCTCTCCAGGACCTTTAGCATGAAGGGGTTGTTGGATTTTGTCAGAGGCTTTTTCCGTATGTAGTGAGATGATCATGTGGTTTTTCGTTTTCAGTTTGTTTATATGGTGGTTTACATTGATGGAGTTTTATATGTTGAACCATCCCTGCATCTCTGGGATGAAGCCTACTTGATCATGGTGGATGGTTTTTCTGATGTGTTCTTGGATTCCATTTGCCAGTATTTTATTGAGTATTTTTGCATCAATGTTCATGAGGGATATTGGTCTGTAGTTAGATCTCTTTCTTAGTTGTGTCTGTGTGGCTTGGGTACCAAGGTAATTGTAGCCTGGTAAAAAGAGTTCGGCAATGACCTTCTGTTTCTATTGTGTGGAACACTTCGAGGAGTACTGGTATTAGCTGTTCTTTGAATTTCTGGTAGAATTCTGCACTGAAACCATGTGGCCCTGTGCTTTTTTTTTGATTGGGAGACTTTTGATGACTGCTTCTATTTCAATAGAGGTTATAGGTCTATTTAAATTGCTTATCTGTTCTTGATTTAATTTTGTTAAGTGATATCTATCCAGACAATCATCCATTTCCTTTAAATTTTTGAATTTTGTGGAGTACAGTTTATTTTTATTTAAATTAGAAACCACATTTCAATCCCAGCTTTCTCTCCCTCTCCTCCTCCCCTGCGTCCCCTACCCCCACAACCCATCCCCCCTCCACTCCCCAGGGAGGGTGTGGCCCTTCATGGGGGATCCCTAAAGTCTGTTATATCATTCAGGGTAGGGCCTAGGCCTAGGCCTTCCCCCATGTGTCCAGGAGTACAGGTTTTCAAAGTAGGACCTGAAGATTCTCTGGATTTCCTCTGTGCCCCTTATGTTCCCCTTTTCTGATTTTGTTAATTTTCATGTTCTCTCTCTGCCTTTTGGTTAGTTTGGATAAAGATTTGTCTGTCTTGTTGATTTTTCTGGAAGAACCAAAGCTTTGTTACATTGATTCTTTGTATTTTTTTTTCATTCCAGACAGGGTTTCTCTGTATTATTTTGGAGCCTGTTCTGGAACGGTAGACCAGGCTGTCGTGGAACTCACAGAGATCCACCTGCCTCTGCCTCCCAGCACACTGGGATTAAAGGTGTGCACCACCAGTGCCCAGCACTTTGTATTGTTTTCTTTTTTTCTACTTTATTGATTTCAGCCCTCAATTTGATTATTTCCTGGCATCTACTCCTCGAGGGTGAGTTTGCTTCTTTTTGTTGGAAAGCTTTCAGTTGTGCTGTTAATTCTCTAGTGTGACTATTCTGCAGTTTCTTCATGTGGGCACTTAGTGCTATGAAATTTCCTCTTAGCACTGTTTTCAAAGTGTCCCATAAATTTGGGTGTGTTGTATCTTCATTCTCATTGAATTCTAAGAAGTCTTTAATTTATTTTGTTTATTTCTTTCTTCACCCAGGAATGGTGCATTTTTGCATTGTTCAATTTCCATGAGTTTGTAGGGTTTCTGCAATTTGTGGTGTTGTTGAATTCTAACTTTAAAACATGGTGGTCTGATAAGACACAGGGAGTTATTCCAATTCTTTTGTACCTGTTGAGGTTTGCTATGTTGCCAAGTATGTGGTCAATTTTAGACAAGGTTCCATATGGTGCTGAAAAGGTAGTATATTCTTTTGTGTTTGGATGGAATGTTCTATAGATGTCTGTTAATCCCAATTGGGTCATAACTTCTTTTAGTTCCTTTGTTTCTTTGTTAAGTTTCTGTCTCTTCAAATTGTATAAATCTTTCCCCTTTTCCTTGTTTTCTTTAAGAGATCTGTTGATTTCTTGCAACATTTGGCTTGTCTTTTTCCTCCATTTCTTGAAATATTTGTTTGTTTTTTCTTCCTTTTTTTTGTTTTTTTGTTTTTTTCAAGACAGGGTTTCTCTGTGTAACTTTGGAGCCTATCCTGGCACTCACTCTGGAGACCAGGCTGGCCTCGAACTCACAGAGATCCATCTGCCTCTGCCTTCCGAGTGCTGGGATTAAAGGCATGCACTACCAACGCCTGGCGCTTCTTCCATTTTTTAAGGATCTCTATCATCTTAATAAAATTGTTTTTAGGGCCATTCTCTTCTTATCTGTGTTGGGATGTTTAAGTCTTGCTGGTGTGGAGTCCCTCCCTAGACTCTGGTGGCATCATATTGATCTTTCTGTTATTGAATGTGTTCTTATACTGTTGTCTTCCCATCCCTTCTTCTAGTAGGTGCCTGTGGGGTCTCTCCCTCTCCTGGTGGGTACGGGTCCAAGGTTCTCTTCTGGTGGGTGCAAGCAGGTCCGATACTCCAATTGCTCTCCTCTTCGTGTGGGTGGAGGCAGGACTACCACAGCAATGTCTCAGACTCTGGATGGACTGGTCTGCTGTGTTGGAACCCATCCCCAGTCCTCAGGCCTCAGGAGGCTCCCTACATAGTATTTTTTCTGCTTACTCTTAGCTTTTTTTCTCCTCAAGTGATTTAATGCTATGCAGATATACAGTTATCAATTATAAAGTTAAATAATTTTAGCAGTATTAGTAACTGACACAGCAGAACCTCATATCCTCTCCTAGCTATTTGAGTCTGATTTTTATCTTTAAAATTACTATTAGAATAAGATATTTTTCTTTTTTAATTTTAGACTTATTTTTATTTATTTTGTTTTAATTTTCTTTTATTTATTTAATTTAGAATCAATCTTATTATACATATCATTCCCAGTTTCCTCTCCCTCCCATCCTTCCTTGCCCCTCACCGACCGACCCCCCCCACTCCACCCCATCCATTCCCCAAGGACAATGAGGCCTTCCATGGGGGAATCATCAAAGTCTGTCTCATCATTTGGGGGAAGGCCTAGGCCCTCCTCCGTGTATCTGGGCTGAGAGAGTATCCCTCCATAGGAAATGGGCTCCCAAAGTCCATTTGTGCTCTAGGGATAAACACTGGCTCCACTGTCAGAGGTCCCATAGACTGCCCAGGCCTCCTAACTGGCACCCACATCCGGAGGACTTGGTTCAGTCCTGGTTCCCCAGCTTTATGACTGGTGTCCATGTGCTCTCACTTGTTCAGGTCAGTTCTTTCTGTGGGTTTCTCTAGCATGGTCTTGACCCCTTTGCTCATCCCTTCTCCTTCTCTACAACTGGATTCCAAGAATATGGCTCAGTGCTTAGCTATCTTTTGCAAGCATATAGATGCTGATATCAACTTAAAATACATAAAATCCTGGGATTGGAGAAATAGGTCAGTGGTTAAGAGCACCAGCTGCCCTTCTCGAGGAGTCAGGTTCAATTCCCAGTATCCATATGGTAGCTCCTAACCATCTGTAACTCCAGTTCCAGAGGATCTGGTTCCCTCTTCTCTCCTTCACAGGCATTAGGAACGTACTTGTGCACATACATACATGCAGAAAAACCACCCATACACACAAAATAAATAAAACCTTAATAGGTAGGTACGTAGGTAGGCATACAGATAGAGATGTGGAGAGATACAGACTATTAGGAAGTGTTTGATTCTTTTTTTTTCTATTTTTTATCATTTTTATGTTAAAAACTCTCTTTTCTCATTTTATATACCAATCCCAGTTCCCATTCCCTGCTCTCCTCCTGCTACTCCCTTCATCCCCCCATCCTATCTCTTACCTACTCCTCATTGAAGTTAAGGCTTCCCATGGGGAGTCAATGCAGTCTGGCACCTTACTTAGAGGCAGGACCAAGGCCCTCCACCCTATATCTAGCCTGAGCAAGGTATCCATCACTCCAAAGAGAATGGGCTCCAAAAAGCCAGTTCAAACACTAGGGATAAATCTTGGCCCCGCTACCAGTGAGACCCACAGACTATTGCCACCCACATTCAGAGGGCCTAGTTTTGTCCTATACAGGTTTCCCCTCTGTCAGTCCACAGTCAGTGAACTCCCTCACTAGCTCAGATCAGCTCTTTCTGTGCATTTCCCCAAACTTGTCTTGACACCTTTGCTCCTCCCTCTCTTCAACTGGACTCTGGGAGCTCAGGCCAGTGCTTAGCTGTGGATCTCTGCTTCTGCCTCCATCAGTTGCTGGATGAAGGTTCTGTGATGATACTTCAGGTAGTCATCAATCTGATTACAGAGGAAGGCCAGTTCAGACACCCTCTTCACTGATGCTTAGGGCATTAGCTGGGGTCATCCTTGTGGATTCCTGGGAATTTCCTCAGTGTCAGGTTTCTCTCTAGCCTCATAGTTACTCCCTCAACCAAGATAACTCTTTTTCTTGCTCTCCCTCTCTGTTCTTCCCCTATCTCAACCATCCTGTTTCCTGGTGTTCTCCCCCCCCTTCCTGTAGTAGAGGTTAATACTTTGAAATGATTAAGTCATTTATTCTTCTAAACAAGTCATTTAATCACTTTATTTTGTAATTTTGTTGATAGTGATATGATTTTCTTTAGTGTGTAACCTGAGTTATTTTGTAACTTATTAAATATAATCCTTTATATAATCCTATTATATGAATATAATCCTTTAGTTAAATACTGTATCCATTTAGAACTCCCCATTACAATGCAAATTAATATTTTAATTCATTTTTTTTCTGATTCATTAGCCATGATTTTTCCTTCTATTATTCATGTGTGATACAGGAAAATAGTAAGCAGTAATAGAATACCTTTCATATACATTATTATCAAAACCTGCTTGACACTTAGCCAATAAGTGAAGAAGCTGTATCCTCACTAAGATAGTTATCTCTAGGGGCCATGAATTTAATACCATATTGAACCAATAATATAGTACATTGACACATAAATAGTATATAATATAATCATTGCTGTTTAGTTTTTCTAAACTGGCATACATTGTTGAAGGTCCTTGTGTATATATTTGTTTTTCTTTTTTTGTTGTTGTTTTTTGTTTTTTTGTTTTTGGTTTTTTGAGACAGTGTTTCTCTGTGGCTTTGGAAGCTGTCCTGGAACTAGCTCTTGTAGACCAGGCTGGCTCTCAAACTCACAGAGATGTACCTTCGTCTGCCTCTCGAGTGCTGGGATTAAAGGTGTTTGCCAACAACACCCGGCTTATAATTTTTGTTACTGCTTTTACGTGGCTTTGTGTTAGGAAATATTGAGTAGCCTCGTAAAAAGTCTCTTTATCATTCTTTTCCTTGTTTATTTGAAAGAGCCCATAATATTCTTCAGGTAAATCACTAAGATTTATTTACTTTCTGGCACAGTCTTTAAGCAAAAAGCCAACCCCATCACCACCAAATGCAAGCAACTACTTGTATAGCACAAGTATAGCACACAAAGTGTTTGTCTTGGTTGTTTTTCTGTTACTGTGGTGAGACACCACGACCAAAGCAACTTATAAGGCAAAGTGTCTAATTGGGCTTAGAGTGTCTGAAAGTTAGAACCCCATGATGGCAGAGCAAATGTATGGTGGCAAGAACATCTTAGTCCACAAGCAGGAGGCAGAGAGCACACTGGTAATGGTACCACTCCTTTGAAACCTCAGAGCTCCTGAATTGACACAGCTCCTCCACAGGGCCCCCCCTTCTAACCCCCTCTCCAATTGTCCACCAACTGGAGACCATGTACTCAAACATGTATTGAGCTTCTGGAGGTCATTCTCATTCAGACAACCAGTGTTTTTGATAATCTTAGCACAGATGCAGGCTGTTGTGAAACCAAGGTAAAGAGTAAAATACATTTTATTCCCTGACCGGACACCTCCAAATAACCTGTATTTTGTCTCTCCTCATTTCAAGATAGTCCCAGTCTCTTAATTTTAATTTCCAAGGTGGCCTGATTATTCAGATTTTGGGGAACTGTTTATGTCTCAGTAGTTGTTACCACAAAGACATAGTTTTGGCTTTTTTGAGGGACTTTGTGTGGCTTAGTTTCGGGATATTAATTTGCCATTGAAGAAAACTAAATTATATAAAAGAACTAACCAATGTATAAAATTTGAACCACTTTACAACCTTTTTTTATTTTTTACTGTACTTGAGCTACATTGTATAAGTTTTTAATATGAAGGTAACATAATATGTCAGCAGATGAATATTATGGCATAATTAGTTTAAATGTTAAAATAGCTCCTTAGTATTCCATTAATTGTGTTTTCATAAGCATATTTTAGATGAACTAAAGGGTAAAGAAGCATGTATATAGTGATATTGAGAGTAGTTGTAGAATAAAATACTCCTGTTACTTGAGCTTTTTTGTTCTTTATTCTTTCAGGGCTATGTTTGAAGTAAACATGAAAGAAAGAGATGATGGGAGTGTTACCATTACTAATTTGTCCTCCAAAGCAGTAAAGGCATTTCTTGACTATGCCTACACCGGAAAAGCAAGAATAACAGATGATAACGTAGAAATGTTCTTCCAGTTGTCATCGTTTCTTCAGGTTCCCTTCTTGTCCAAAGCTTGCAGTGACTTTTTAATAAAAAGCATCAATCTCGTCAATTGTTTGCACTTGTTATCTTTGTCAGACAGCTATGGCTCTACCCATTTATTTAGTCATGCTTTATGCTTTGTACAGCATCATTTTCATTTGTTATTTAAATCCAGGGAGTTTTTAGAGATGAATTGTGGAGTGCTGGAAAAGTGCCTGGAGTCAGATGAATTAAATGTGCCTGAAGAAGAAATTGTCCTGAAGGTTGTCATCACATGGATTAAATACAACTTAGAGTCCAGGCAAAAGCACCTGCCTCACTTGATTAGAAAAGTAAGGTTACATCAGTTATCTGAAGACACACTTCAAGACTGTCTGCTCAATGAGGAGTGTTTACTCAAAAGCACAAACTGTTTTGACATAATTGTGGATGCCATTAAATGTGTACAAGGTTCTAGTGGTCTCTTCCCTGATGCTCGACCATCCACAACTGAAAAATATATATTCATCCATAAAACTGAGGAAAATGGAGAAAATCAATATACATTTTGCTATAATATTAAAACTGACTCATGGAAAATATTGCCACAATCACATCTGATTGATTTGCCAGGATCCAGCTTGTCTAGCTATGGAGAGAAAATATTCTTGACAGGTGGTTGCAAGGGGAAGTGCTGTAGGAAGGTTCGACTTCATATTGCTGAGTCTTACCATGATGCCACTGACCAGACCTGGTGCTACTGTCCAGTCAAAAATGAGTTTTTCTTGGTTTCAACCATGAAAACCCCAAGAACCATGCATTCATCAGTCATGGCTCTCAATCGTTTATTTGTTATAGGTGGAAAGACTAGAGGATCCCAGGACATTAAAAGTCTCTTAGATGTTGAATCTTATGATCCACTATCCAGAGAGTGGACATCGGTTAGCCCTTTACCCAGAGGCATCTATTACCCAGAAGCCAGTGCATGCCAGAATGTCATTTATGTTCTTGGATCCGAGGTAGAGATTGCAGATGCATTTAACCCATCACTTGATTGTTTTTTTAAGTACAATGCTACAACTGACCAGTGGTCTGAACTCGTAGCTGAGTTTGGGCAATTCTTTCATGCTACTCTAATTAAAGCTGTCCCAGTAAACTGCACCCTGTATATATGTGATCTTTCCACCTATAAGGTGTATAGTTTTTGTCCTGATACTTGTGTTTGGAAAGGAGAAGGCTCTTTTGAGTGTGCAGGCTTTAATGCTGGTGCAATTGGCATTGAGGATAAGATTTACATATTAGGTGGAGATTATGCACCAGATGAGATCACAGATGAGGTTCAGGTTTATCACAGCAGCAGGTCAGAGTGGGAAGAGGTGTCACCAATGCCAAGAGCCTTAACTGAATTTTACTGCCAAGTTATTCAGTTCAACAAATATAGGGACCCATGGTTTTCTAATCATTTCTAAAAGTAGTATTTGCATGAGTGGTCTAAAATGATGCCTAGTAAAATTAGAAAAAAAAAAAGTATTTACTAATCTATCTTCTATGGAAGAATGACTGTAGATGTATGTTGTCCCTAAGTAGACAGGTTCCCAGAAAATTAAATTAGAATACAAAATACATTTTACCAAAGTTATATTGAATGTAATTTAATATTGAATACTTCAGAATGTTTAGTATTGTCTTATGTAAATCAAAAAGTAAAGGTTTTGACACTTTGAATTTAAGATAAAGGATGCCAAAAAAAAATCAGTGCTCATAAATGTGTACCATGTAGAAGGGATAAATACCTTTAGGTAGATAGAAATATCATGTGACAAGAAGATAAACTAGAAATAGGTGAGAAGCTCACATTGAACACTGAAGGACTAAGAATTATTTAATCCCTATCCTTTTCTGCCTGCTGGCTAAAATATCTCATTTATCTTTGTTGTAGTCAGAAACTTTCTGGAATACATTTCTCCACCCATGTGCTCAGTACACTGAGAATAGTTTGGCATTACTCTTATGGTGTATGATAGATATTAAGTATTTATAATATGTATTTGTGATTAAGAGCATATTGAAGCACATTATGGTGTTGAGCCATTGAGGTTAATTTTTTTTTACTTGCTGGTTTATTTGTTTTCAGTATCATTTTGAAACTCAGCTTTTTAGTAACATGATAGCTTCCATTCTCTTGTTCAAATTTGGTAAAATTTACATTTTTTACTTAATTATCATACTAAATTGCACCAAGCCTGAGTGTGTCTTAACATATAACCCACTGAGTGACATCCTTGCAATCTGAAATGTTCTTTTAAATGCTCTTTCTAAATCATTGGTGCCTACTCCCCCAACATAGAGGATACAGAAATTTTTATCTTTAGAGAAGTTGGTCATTATAAAGAGGTAGTTTCTTTATTACATTTTAGTACATGTTTGTCATTATACTTTAGTTCCTGTTCATCTCTCCCACTGCCTCCACCCATCCCCCAAGTCCTACTCTAGATGGTCTCTTCCTGCCAGACAGTCCCCTTTTGCTTCCAGGCCACAGGAATTCTGTTGCCCTCTCTTCTCCTCCCTTAAGATCTTTTCCTTCCTTCAGAGTCATCTTTTTACTTCCATGTCTCACAAACACATCATATACATGCACAGATTCACAAAGAAATCTAGATTCAGCATGAGAGAATACATACAATTTTTGTCTTTTCTCAATTTGACTTATTTCACTTAGCATATTGACCTCTAGTTCCATCCATTTCCCTGCGGATGCTCTAATTGTGTTCTCAACTGCTGAATATAGTTCTATTGTACATATATACCACATTTTCTATATTTATCCATGATGGTCATCTAGGATGAATCTAATAGCCTGACTGTTGTGAACAGGGTGCAGCAATGAACAATGTTCACTGAGAATGTATAACGAGGAATGCAGTAAGAATCTAGGGTTTAATTAGCACCTAACCAGGTTCCTGCCATGGGTGCTAATTGTAAAGTTGTTTTACAACTTCAGTAAATTACTCTAAGTGAATCACTTAAGAAATGACAGGACTTCTGATATCAATAGTTTCAAAATCTAGGTCTTTGTGGGCTTCAACCAGAGCATGACCATCCTTTTTCTTGAGCAAGGTTGTTCTGCTTTGCAAGAGGCATACTTAATTGCTCTAAAAGATATTGCCATTTTGGGTTTTAAGACCCCGATTCACATCTCAGGAATTACATAAATTGCACAACTCATAATTAATGTGGTTTCCTAAACTACATTTTAAATATTCAGTTGTAGTAAGTGTAGAATTAAGACTTACCTAAATCAAAGTTCTTTGATTTTATCACACATTTATGCAAACACAGATTTCAGATGTATTTTCCAAGTATATTTACATGCAGCTTCAAAGTCAGATAATTGATTTCAGTCATGGGGTATTCAGTACAATCAATAGCTCTTTTTAAACACACAGGTGATTCTGCCCTTTCATTTTGTGTGTACTTAAGAAAAAACTCAGGAGATACTTCTGTGGCATTCTTTGAGAAAACCGGTAACAATAAGTGACCCATGTATTCTTAAATAATGTTGTCAGTGAGTCTAGGAATTATTTATTTGAAAAACAAGAGAAACTAAACTAAAACAATCCCTTTCCAACAGTGTTATGTTATCCAATCCTTTTTATTTCTGCTATTTTCTATGGTAATGTCCGTGCACATCAAGACCCAACTGGTCTACTGGTCTACTGTGGATTTGTTGTCTTTGCTTATGCTGGTTTGGGACCTTAGTTGTATTGCTGTGCTTGCTTTTTAAACATGTTCATTTCTTGCCATCTCTGTAAATTTATACCTTGTCCTTTTTTAGAGTTGTCATTATAAAGAAAATACTATGTCCAGTATAAAACACAGCCTCTTCATTTCTTTATCACCACAACAGGCTTGCCTCAACTAATGGCTAATTTTATATTTCCTTGTCATGCTTTCATTTCATCTAACTGTCTCTGGGATAAAACAGTTCTGTGTTCAAGCTCCAGGACTCTATCCACAATGGCTCCTTTGTTCTATGACTAAACTGGTACACCCAAGGTCTTGCCAGTCACTGTGGCCTTAATACCTTCAGAACAGAATTTATCACTCTGGCTCTTTTCATTCTGTTTTTCTAATATGCAAATCTCTGTGATCTCTAAGGTCTATTCTCAGAATATAGCATCCTTTTATGGAGTCTTTCTTTAGTCCTTTTTTCTTCTTTCTTTTTCCTTTTATGTTGACCTTCAGCCAGGACCACAGTGTAATGGCCAAATAATTGGGCTCACTATCCAGACTGCTGCCATTCCTATGGGAAAAAAAAAAATGTTTTAACAGTTCTCCATTATTTTTCATCTTGCTTTACCTCATTAGGAGTATGCATCCAGAAATATTTGAATATTATCTCCCAAATTGAAAGTATGTATTAAATATAGAACTATAGAAAGGATTAATATATGAAATAAGTTCACAGTTAATGGACATTCTAGTTATGATCTTCAAGTGAGTTAGAATGTGGTGCTCCTTTGTTCATGTAGTCTTGAGGAAGAGTATTTGCACAGTTAAAATGAACTAAAATCCTGTAACACTCAACTCTGTTGGTAAAGAAAGAAATATTTATCACAGCAGCATTCATTGTGGACTACCCATGAAAGCTGGGTTACTTGAGGGCAACCATACATTGCAACAAAATTCCATTTTTTCATATACTAAGAACAATTGAATGCATATTCATTGTGTTTGGTTCAAGTATACATTTGAAAACCAAAGTTTAAAACAGAGAGATAGATCTGTTTGATATTTTCATATTTGTAAGCAATAAATATTGTAATGATTATATATATACTGAATATAGGATTTACTTTGGGATCGTTGTTCTCAGATTGATTGAATCCTAGTTCTCAAAGCTTTTTTTCTTTATTTGAAATTAAAGTATAAGTTTTTATAATGTCTCCAAGAAAACAGCTCCAGAGGTAGTCCTTCAAAATAAGAGCTAGACTTCACAGGAAAACAGACCTCTGTTCACCGTAAGAAACAATCATTGCACTTTATAAAGTCCTAAGGGTGAGACTATTCCTAACACATTTTAACTCTTAAGATTTCAGTTGGTTTACATAGTTGAGAATTTTTTTAAAAACATAGCTTGATTTTATTGAAGGGAAATTTTCTCTTTCCTTTCTTTCTCACTCTTCTTTCTCTCACCCTTCTTTACTTCCTTCTACCACTCAGGAAGAGCATCTAACTGAGTAAAATTATAAAGACCAGAACTGAAACTTGTATAAATTGTTATTATTTCCCTGACATGGTACTTATATAAACAAAGGTAGTGGTCGGGCCGTATTGGCACACACCATTAATCCCAGCACACTGGAGGCAGAGGCAGGCGGATCTCTGTGTGTTCAAGACCAGCCTGGTCTACAAAGAGCTAGTTCCAGGACAGCCTCCAAAGCCACAGAGAAACACTGTGTCGAAAAACCAAAAACAGCAACAAAAAAATCCAAATAAACAAAAAAATAAAGAGGTGGTGATTGCCTACCCTTATATCTTAAAACTAAAAGTGTGTTTATAGCTTATATTTGATGACCTAAGGTCTACTCAAATTCATACCAAAATAGAGAATTTAATCACAGAACGATACTATTTTTCATTTACAAAATGTTAACTCTTCTAAGTTAGAGATGTACCTTCAAAGTGAAGATAATCTTGGAATAAAATATGAAGAAAATCTTTAAACTTAAACATTTCAGACACATGATTTTGTCTTAGAGTTTATTGTTAAATGCTTTCACGGACAAAGAATTACTATACTATATTGATTCCAAAGAGTTGCATTACAAAGTGCTACTAACACTGGAAGTAACTTTGCCAACTATGATGAGAACTTCAATTCTTGCTTTGTAGTTGTCTCTGCATGTCAGTCATCCAAGTACTTGGAGCAGTACCATGTCTCTTGTTGCTGCAAAATATATCCTCATTTTCCTTCTTGTTTAAGAGCTCAACACATTGATTTCTCCATCATAGGCCAAATTGCATGATTTCTCTTCGTTAAGGTTGTCACAGAGAATTTTTCTTCATTGTAGTGTTGGGTTTAGCCTGTCAAGCTTTGTCAATTCTTTCATTGGAGGATTTTACCTTACAGTCTAGTGCCAGTGAATTTAGTGGTTCAAACATCTCCACCATTGTCTAGCTCTCTGTCTTAGTACTCCTACAGAGTGTAGCGCAGTGGTTCACAAACTGATTTGCAACGCCTTTGGGGGATAGAACAACCCTTCGACAGGTTGCCAGAGACCATCGGAAAACACAGATATTTACATGACAATTCATAACAGGAGCAAAATTACAGTTATGAAGTAGCAACCAAATAATTTTATGGTAGCATGCCACCACAATATGAGGAACTGCATTAAAGGGTCGCAGCATTAGGAGGTTGAGAACCACTGTTCTAGAGCCTTATTTTGTGTCCTGTGTATCTTCTTCCCATCATTATAATTGTGAACATATGTTTTGCCTGGAGAATTTAAGGGCAAAATTTTAATAACATTTTTATTAGATATAGTTTTCAGTATTTTAAAAAATCTTCCAGAAAGCCTACAAAACATACAAATCATATATAGCATTTACATTATTAAGTGGAGAACAATTTACTCACAGATTAGTATAGACAAGCCCTGTGATAATCACAGCACAATATTTCCATACAACAAGGCCATAATTCCATAATTATCAACCATGAAATTTTATTCACCTCATTAAGAATGTTCCCAACCATATTGGTCTAACTAGTTCAACAAATTGTGCTATTGTTCTTAAGTGTATTGAAGTGGCTGAAATAACTGATTACAGCCCTCATTAAGTATCACACTAAATAAGTATTTCTTTATATTTCTTATCTACCTGGAAGCTCACAGGGACTGAGGCAACTTCATTTCAGGACTCAGCAATTAGCACAGTGCCTGTCACAGAAACCTGTCCAGTAAACTAATTCTATTGAGCAATGCATATATGTAAAGCAAATGTATTTGTCATTTATATCATCACTGAATGTGTCTGATTGTTTCCTGAAAGTGACATTATAGCTTCTAAGTAATTCTTAGAAAATTCTTTCTGAAAACAGTATTATAGCATGTCTCCTGATGCTAATGTTATAGCTTCTAAGTGATTCACTAGCTATTTTTCAGGTGGTTGATTATTTGTTTTCAGATTTTAACCATGATAGTAACCAACAGCTAATCCTGTGTTTCCTTTAAGTGGCAATAATGGATAAGACACTCAGTAAAAATTCCAGTAATACATTTGGAACCCTCATTTCTAAGTGTAATTGCTTCAGTGAAATTTTTTTCAGTTGTGGGAGGTAATGCCCAATGCTATTACACAGGCAACTTATTTCATTTCTTTGTTAGTGAAATGTGGGGCTTCTGCCATATGCTATGAGAAAGTCAACATTTTTTTTCAGGTTCGTATTAACCTTAATAATTATGTGGTAAAATATCTCAGTTCTATAAAATGTTAATTTATTAAAATCTGTCACAATTCTCTGTATTATCAGAAATAAAAGATGGAAAAAATGAATGTCAAGACTTCTTACTTCTTTCCAGATTGTAAGGGGCCGTGGACCCAAAACTATGCGGCTTAAAGCCCACCTTTGTAAGCCGTTTAATAACCTTTAAGTTTGCAGCTTAAAGCCAGCTCTGTGAGCCTCCTGTAACCTGTAATTAGATGGTTTGGCCACAGGGAACTGCTAATTGCTTCTGTTCCGAGAAAGGGCCTGGGGCTTTCCTGTTCGATGTTCTGGGGAAGATCACAAGATATTCTGGCTGATAAGAAAAATGCTCCGGCTCCTTCCTGTTATCCCCCGCCTGCCTAATTTCCTTGTTGCAGGGCTATATAAGCCCAGTCTGAACCCCAATAAATCGAGGCCTTGACATTGCATAGATGGACCCTGGTCCTCTTTCTTTTGCGCCGCTTGGTCTCCTTCCCTTTTCTCGCCCATGACTCTTTCAGGCAGCCCCCCTCCGGAACCCTGAATGACTGACCCTCGGGACAGGACACCAGATATTCTGCAATGATAAGCAACCCTGAAAGATGTCAGACCACTGAGACTGTGGCATCTGAGTAGGAGGGTGCTAAAACCTCAGCCTCTTCTTGGGAAAGAACAGCAAATACCCATGGGCCAAAGGTGGTGAAAACAGAACCTGGCCAAATATACAGGGTCAGCCTCTGGTCAACTCTGCCTTAACCAGGTCTATGCTATTTAAATAAAACTGTCTTCCAAAGACAGTTGAAAGCGTGGTCCCAGGTAATGATGCTATTTGGGGATTTTTGTATTACTGTCACACAGAACTCTAAGGCAACACAAAAGAACCAGTCGTTGTAAAGAGCATAAAGTATTTGTGCCCACAGAAGTGTTAAGAACTGGGATTGTCTCTTTTAACAGAAGGGATGTGTCTATGTTTTCCATGAAGAAAGCTAGGAGTGGCTGTGATTCATCACCTGGTGACCTTTGCTAGCTGTAGGGTCAGGCCACACCCGAATCTCCCAAATGAATATGTTTATCTCAAATTTTTCCTCAGTAGTCCCTTTTCTTTAGCATTGCTTCTCAGTCAACAGAATCCATCTTCAGAGTAGAGGCCATATATACTTTACAGAAGAGTTTCAATGTAGCCATGCCCTAAGCTTTATTGTTCACATGGGATTGAGGAAGCTGTCAGTGGGAAACATTTTCCAAAATGTACTTAAGTATGTCTAAAACAAACTGCCCAGTGTCAGAATCTAGACAGCTGAACCAATACTGGCTAACTAGGTCTTCCTGAGCCAGATGACCTTCTTGCCTCTCATTGGTCATTTCTGTACTGGCAGTAAGCATTTGCAGATAGGATGATTAGGACCATCCTACCTCATACCAGCAGCTCTTATTATGGACTTAGAATAGAAAGCCAAAGCCTGAAAGTCTAAATGGAACTGCAAAGGGGATTTTTTTTAAACCATTAACTTTGGACAAGTGTTATCTTTATTCTTGCTCCTCTAATTTGCTTTCTCTCATGTTTTTGGCTTTACTAACTGATGGTTTATATTTTACTAAGAGACCTTGACCCCTAAATCCTTATTCCAGACAAGGGACTATATTGAAACAGTTTCTTCTCAAAAACAAAATTCTTTAAGATATTCTTGATTCATTGACAGTTTTGTGTGTGTGTGTGTGTGTGTGTGTGTGTGTGTGTGTGTGTTGTTTGTGTAAATTTATCTTGATCATATCCATTCACAATTTCCCTACTCCATCTCCATCCATAATATCCCCAAGAATATGTCCTGCCTGCTTCATGTTCTCTCTTCTTAAAAAAGAATCTACAGAGTTCAATTAATGTTGCCTACATGCACATGAACAGCCCATCAGTGGTCACACTCCTGAAAGAAAAAGGAACATTCTCTCCTAGTAGCCAGCAATTGCTTCCACTTGTGCAGGTGATCATAGCTGCAGTGAGTTCCTGAGTGCAACCAGCATGTCTCCAGCTCTTACATTCTTTGTGCTTTTTTTCTCCATAATGATCTCTGAGTCAATTGAGATTTGATAGTGTCTCATTTAGGATTACACACTCAACAGTCACTTATTCTCAATAGCTGTTGTGTGTACTGACTGTTGCCTACTGCAAAAAGAAACTTCTCCTATCTGTGTTGAGAAGAGCACTGATCTATTGATATGAACAAATACTTAAAACGTAGTTTAGCAGCATGTATATTTAGCAAAACAGCAGTATTGGGTCTCTGTATTTAAACCATGGACTTTTGATAAGTTTATAGTACCAGACATGGATTACCTCCAGTATAGCAGACCTCAGCATCAATAAAATTCAGTTGCTTCCCATTATAACAGTCATAGCACTATTACATCTGAAGGCACATCTTGCTTGGCAGCTCAGCATTATAATATGTGTTACCCACTACTGGGTAAGTTGATTGATGAATTTTCTCCCTCAGCAAGAAACACAGCCCTTGAAAGAAGAAGAGTTGTTGGGGCCCGTATATTGGAAATCTATTCCATCCTGCTGTGCCACAAGAGCCCCTACTCTTATTGTCTTTAAGATATCAGCTAATGGCTGCAGGATGTCCTGGCCTTGGTGGTGAATGGCTCCTATCTAAGAAACAATAGACCTAGGCCCAGATGAGTTTGCACCCATCTTGAATGCTAAGTGATATGTGCCAGTATGGAGTGCCTGAAGGCCAAGTACATGCAGCTACAGAATGTCTTTAGTATTAAAGGAAGTAATTGCTGTCTGCCCCTTATACATGATAATAGATGCCTTCTGCCATTGTCCCCACCTTTGGATGGTTACTTAAGATGATGCATGAATAATCTGGGCACAGGCAGTATTAACTGACTGCCCTCCTGATATGATCTTATGTCTCTGTCTTTTCTTTAATGCAGGATAGCTAGCCTTCCCTCATCCACACTCCCCCTCTCAGGAACGGACCTGGGACTGTTCAGCTGGTTCCGATTGCAGCCCTGAAGACACCAGGATATGATGTATGGCCCTGCAACGTGGGGCTAATAAAGATGGTCAGCAACAAATGGCACAGCAAAGCGGGGCTGATATAGAATGGTGCCTGGCAAAGAGTCTTAGTTTATTTTCTGGTTGCTATGACGAAAAACCCTGACAAAAGCAGAGTTTGTTCCAGCTCAAAATTCAGGGGTAGAGTCCATCAAGGATGAGAAGGCAGCAAGAGCTTGGAGCAGCTGGATAGGATACCCACAGTCAAGAAAAGAAAGCAATGAATTAATCAATACATGAATGCCAGTGATCATCTGGCTCTCTATAATTTTAGACAATCTTAGATCCCATGCCCAGGGAAATGGTATAAAACAGCACATAAATTAACATAAAAATAATCTCCATAGGTGTTGTCCAAGACCCTTCTCCCAGGTGATTCTAGATTTCTTTGATTTGACAACACTAACCATCTCATGAAGTCTGTCTCAGTCTCACATGTGTTGATACGGCCAGTTGTGTTCTTTGTATTTCTTAAGATCTGTAGTACATGTTAGTACTGGATAAGAATGCATTAATCCAGAATCCTTTCAGTAAATCCAGTTTTCTCTGTGCCCCCAGCTTCCTGAATTCCCTTTGACTTCAAACACTGCCCTAGTCCCTTCCTTTTAATTCATCTAGATAGAAGACTTAAATAGTTTATTTAAAATCTTATGGTGTGTAGACTATGATGAGGAAGTATGTGTGGAGAAGGAGAGATGGAGTGGTTCGTGAGCTGTGAAGTGAGGCAGGCTTGGAGAACAGCCTGATGTGAGAGGCCAGTGTTACCACCTGAGCCATGGTGGCTTTCTGGACCCATGCAGCTGCCAAGGGCCATGTCTGGGTCTGTGATCCTAACAGAGCTGAGGCCTGTATTAATTTCCGTGGCCCATGTTACCACCAAAGGCCACATGGATGTCTGTGGTCTGGGCTGCCACCTGAGGCCATGTTGAAGCCCTAGGGCCACTCTGAGATGGCCATGCCCCATGCCTGGACAGCAAGGGAGAACTGGCCCAGGTGGTACTGGTACTGGCAGAGTAGAACTGGTAGGCAGTCCAACTCACCTACCAACCAGGCCTGGATTCAGAGCTTGGAGTTGGCCCATCCTAACATCTATCCCATGTATGAGCTGCTGGAGCATGTGAAAGGGTCGCTCCTGTGGAACCATAGCCTCAGGATCTCATGACTTAGGACAACAGCAGTATTATTCTTGGTAAGGTCCAGTATTGATGGTGTACCAAAAGCCAAAGGCCTTGAACCAGACTAATAATTACAATGAACAACTGAAAATTGACACACCACAGCTTCAGATGCCACTAAGATGAACATGTATAATGGAGAGGAAGAAGAGACAGAAGTGGAATGGTACATGCACAGAAGAACTGGAGGAGATCATGCCCAGAAAGATCGATGAAATGTTCTTTCATGTTTTAATTTTTGATTTTTGTTTTCTTTGGTGGCATAGGTTACAGGAGTGGAGGGCAGATGTGGAGAGACTGAGAAATAAGTGGGATTGGGGTGTATGGTATGGAGTTCCCAAAGAATAGATTTTTTTAAAAAAAGAAAAAAGAATGAAGCCTGATGGGTCAGTGAGTTGGCTTGGCAGGTAAAGTTGCTTTACTCCAAACCTGATGACCCAAGTTCAATCCCTAGGACCCACATAGTGGAGAACACCAACTCCCATAAATTGTCCTCTGACCTTCACATTTATGTCTTAGCATATGTACACATTCTCTCTCACACACACTATAAATACAAATGTAATATGTTTTTTGAAGAAAGGAAAGAAAACCTGAACAAGAAGGATCGGTTAACTGTCAATCTGTAAAACAAAAACATTCCATTTGTCTGCTAGAGTTTAAGACCTATAAAGTTCTTACCGACCTCAAAGTGTATGGTAAGAGAAGGATTAAGATGTAACAATAAAGGCCCAGAGACAGAGGAAAGAGCTGAATGTACAGAAAGAATAAAGTGCAACCAATTAAAAAAAAAAGAAATTTATAGAGGGGACTGGAGAGATGAATCAGTTTTAAAAATGCTTGAAGTATA